TACAATATGCTTTATTTTTTCCTCTTTTAGAGTAAAACTGAAAGCAAATAGTCTATTAATTTAAAAAGTAAATGTTAGTCATTAAAACTATTATTTTCATAAAGAAAAATTTGATTTTCTAAAATGCAAAAATGCATTTAATTTCTTTTAAAAAATTAATTTTTTCTTTATGATAAAGTGTAGTACATTCATATTTACTCTTTTAAATTAAGAGGCTGTTTTTTAGAGCAATACAATATTTACAACCAAACCGAATTGAAAATGCAGAGTTCCCATATATTCCCTTCCTACACAAACACACAACCTTCCCCACCATTAACACCCTGCACTAGTGTGGTACATCATTAAAATCCATGAATCAATTTTTCCAGATCATTATGAGTTCAACTCAATCTCTCCCTCTGTTACCCTGAACCCTTGGTAATCATTTATATTTTTAATGACTCTATAAAAATATTGCCTTTTCTAGAATATTATAAAGTTGGAATTATACAATATGTAGGCTTTTATCATTGACTTATTTCATTTAATGATATGCATTTAAGATACTTCCATATCTATGTCTGGCTTCATAGCTCATTTCTCTTAACTGCTGAAAAATATCCCATTGTATGGATTACCATGGTTTATTCATCCATTCATCTTAGTTGCTTCTCATCCTGGCATTGTAAATAAAGTGAGTTGGTATAAAAATTTATGTACAAGTCTTTGTGTAAGACATAGAGTTTCTGTTCATTTGGGTAAATCCCAAAATGTACTATTGTTATTATAGATCAGATGGCGAGGGCATATTTAGTTTTATAAGAAACTACCAAACTGTCTTCCAAAGTGACTGTACTATTTTGCATTCCCACAAGGAATGAATGAGAGTTTTTTGCTGCTCTACATCCTCATCAGTAGTTGGTCTCTGCAACGTTTTGAATTTTTACCATTCAATTAGGTAGTTGTGGTATTTTGAAGTTTTAATTTGCAATTCCATGATAATAACATAATATTGATTGGGTGTATTTTCATATGTTTATCATTTTCAAATCATCTTCAGTGAGGTGTTAGTTTTAGTATTTACCCATTTTTATTGCGAAGATTTAAGAATTTGTATATTTTGTGTACCAGTCTGTTATCAGATGTGACTTTGCAAATATTTTCCTTCAATCTGTACAATGTTTTCTCAATCTCATGACAGTGATTTTACAGAGAAATTTTTAATTATAATTAAGTACAACTCATCTCCAAACTCAGCCTTCTGGATGTCCTCCAAAGAGATCTTCTAGGAGTTTTATAGTTTTGCATATTTCATTTAGATTTGTCACTCAAGTTGAATTAACTTTTTTGAATTATGTAAAGTCTGTGACTAGATTTATTTTCTCTCTCTCTCTCTCTCTCTTCTTATGGATATCCAGTATTTCAGCATCATTTGTCGTCAAGAATATCCTTTCTTAATTTAATTACCTTTGCCTATTTGTTAGCCATCAGTTAACTCTAATTGTGTGGGTCCGTTTCCGGGCTCTCTATTCTGTTCCATCACTCTTTTTTTGTCTTTCCTTTCTCCAGTGCCATACAGTCTTAAAGCACACATCTTTAAAGCTACTATTGCAGCTTCACTATGCCTGATTGTGTTCTTCTTCAGTATTCTGTCAGATTGTCTAAAACATTTTCTTTGCCATATAAACTTTAGAATCAGTTTGTCAGTATCCAAAAAGCAAGCTGGGATTTTCAATTGAGTAATATTTATTTTTATGAATTTTTTTGTAGAATGTAAATAACTGGAAGTGACTTTAAATGTTGCCAGTGAACTAACTTAATTACTGGAACAATACACCCAATCACAATCTTAAATACTACTCTAGAAGATGTGGGTAGGTGCGTGCATGGTGTGTGTGTGTGTGTGTGTGTGTGTGTGTGTACATAGCTTAAACTTGGAAATTATAGCTTAGAAAAAAATCTAGTTCAAAAGTGCAATATATAAAATAATACAAAGTGTCACCATTCTGATTAAAGCAGGGGTGAGAGTGAGTCCCGGGTATGGCTTCTCTGAGTCTCTCTGACATCCAGTAAGGAAAAAGTGAAAAAGACAGAATTTCTACAGAGAACTAGACTAAATGATGTCTCATTTTCCACTCAAATTTATACTTCTTGATGTGTGGTTGGTTATTTTTACTTCTCATTTTCTTCATAACTAATGCATTATAAACAATGTCAGGTTTTTTTTAAAGCTATATTTATAACAGTTGCCTTAACATCAGTTTTGGGGAAAGATCCTTTTAACTTCCAGAGTTTTCTGGCCGAGTCATAATCAGTGATGTAGTGATCAGTGTGTAACAAAAGGGACTGTTTGTAGCATTCTCTGGTTTCTGTGTTTTAAAATACTCCCACAGGGTCTGATTTGAAGCTACAAATAAGACATCACTAAGCCTGAATTTAAGAAGAGACATGGCAGGTTGCTCCCATAAACTAATATAAGCCAGCTCCAGCAAAACAAAATTCTTAGCTTTGTCATAAATCTAAACAGTGTTAATGATTAACAGTTTTTTCCTCTCCAAGCCCCTCTGTGGTTGACTTAAAGTACCGATTAATTCATTAATTTCTTCAACAAACCTTTGCATTGGTGAGAACTTTATTTTCTAAGAATCAATTTATTACCGTATGTTAAGCACTCTTCCTCCATGTAGTTTAAAAAGATTGTGTCAGTCATTTTTAAAGTTTTTTTCTCTTTTAAGGACTACACCAATGTTAGTAGCATTTCCTAAATAGCAAAGCATAAGAAGTAAACACAATGTCTTCAGGTTCAGATCACAGATCTCATCACTGATATAATTCTGGTTGCTAGTCACATGATCACTCAAGTTCCTTGGATAGTTAAAAAAAAATTAGAATGGATGGCACTCTGTCTATGCTTATAAACTCATTTCCTTCAACTCCCTACCTCTCTGCTCAAACAGATGTGGTTTAAATCCATTTCATAACTAATTTCTCCAAAAACATTGTTTATCCCTTGAATTCTTTCATTTCCCCTAGCTTAGGTGTTTAGAATAATTGCAAGCTTTTTCAAATTTCCATGTGCTTCTGTGTCTTTTGCTCCTTTCCTGGAGCAAAAGACACACAGTCAATCTGCTGCATGAATTAGACAAAGGCTAGGGGGAAATAATATCATACTAACTCAAAAATATTATGCCACCATGACAAAAGAAGGGCACTTAGCTCTGTCTAGTAGGAGTCCCAGAAAGCATTCTAAAGAAGAAAAGTCTGGCACTACATAGAAGTTAGGCATGTGGAAAACAGATGCATGAAGGTTATTTTATGCAAAAGTATAAATATCTGAGCAGGTTGATCTAATGCTGCCGAAGGGGAGAGATAATGATTATGTTGTTGAAGATGTTAGAGAATTAGAGAGAGGATGATAACAGCCTTGCACAATGTGTTTAGGATGTGTCCGTGGGACAGTAGAAGCTGGACTTTAATAGTTTTAAGGACTCTATGTAGGATAGAAAAGAAACAACAGGAGTCAGGAAGCCACTACCTTGGTCTACGTGAAAATAGTGTGAGTGAAACAAGAACAGCAATAAGCAATCAATTTATGGAGCAATATAGTATGAGTCGGAAAGAGAAGAGACAAAGAGGGTAGTTTTGCACAAAAGGAAAGGCGTTAAGAGTGGTTATAAATAAAGACAGTCTTGTCAACAGCATTGTGAGAAGTGGAGATTCAATATTGTACAGTAATAACATTGTGATATTATAGCTTAATGAGCATTTTATGTGGTCTACATGTACTATTTAATTTAATAATATACCAATATGGAAATCTTATTTTGACATTTTCAAATGAATAAACTGGTGGTCAGAAATTTTAAGTTTTGGATTGCTAAGAAAGTGGGTGCCAGGTTTGAGCCTTAAAGTCAGATAGGTCTGACTGATTAAAAGTACATGTTTTCAATCTCCATCTTGTATGTTTTCTTTGCAGTAGGAGGTAAATTTCTCTCTCTTGTGGAAGACGAGCCATTTGTTAAAAGCAACAACATTCTACAATAGTCATTTTTAGTACAAAGAAGATAAATAATGGGCTATGGACAAGCTGCCATCACTCACAATGGTATAGTCCGAACATCTTCAATTGTACCAGTGTGCCAAGTTACAATGCTATTTTTCAGCAAAACTCAATCAGTTTAAGTATGATAGTAGAGAAGCAGGATTATGAGACTATTTAGAGTAACAGTTCTCATTGTCAAGTGTACTGGAAGTATTTGAATGGATAAAAAACAGAAGAAACTAAAAAAAATGCATTGAAGACTAGGTATGAAAAACAGTGTTCAAGTTGGATAAACAAAGTATAGTTTTTCAAATTCTTGCCTGGCAGTTTTTTTTAGTATTTTACTGTCACTTACAGTAAAAGGATTAAGTCCAACACATTCTTTTCAACTGAAGCATTAGAGAACTGTTGTGATGGTTCTCTAATATATAAAAATAAGAAATTATTCTTTCCACCCATAACAAGAGACTATTTTTAAATTTTAAATTGCCAAGATCTTTAGTCATTTGTTAGATATTGTTTATCATATTTTTATTCATAAGTTGATACTTATCTGCCCTCCTCATGTCTGAAAATTGCATATATATAAGTTAAATGTCTTAAAACTAATAATAGTGGCTATCCTATTGGAATATGAATATAAAAATACACACATACACATTTATGTAAATACACGTGTTTGTATTTTAAAAATTTCATGTAGCCTATGGACCACTATGATTTCTCCATCTTTGTGTCTTATTTATTTATATCCTATAGCTCTATAGCTTTTGTTTTTGAACTATGTCAGTTTATTATTTTATACTTTTCTGATGAGCCAATATGATTGCTCAAGTTGTTCCGTATTTACGACTTTTGCATATTTGGAATCTTTACTCACAAAATAAAATTAATATTTTAAACTCATTGCTTATTCAAAGCTAAAAGTTTCCCAGTTATTTTAAAATATTATTTCATTAAAGGTATTGGTTATTTGAAACTTCTCCTAGACTTCTAAATGTTTGTTGTTGTTGTTGTTGTTAGGGGCCATGCTAATGTTCTCTGTATTGTTCCAATTTTACTATATGTGGTGCTGAAGCGAGCATGACTTCTAAATGTTTGTTCTTCCCATTACTAGCTTTTGGTCACATTCAAGATACTGATAAATTCTCTACATGTTATAAAATAAACAAAGCTAAACAATACAATACATCAAGAAATTATCTTTTCATAAATATTTTAGTTTGCATATGATAATCTTCTCTACACTTGCTTCTATATCCTGTGTAAATTGCTTAGATAGTAATATTGTTATTTTATTGTCCATTTTACGTTGTTGGCTGACACGCATGGCAGATTAGGTGTCTATTTAGAGGAAAGTGTGACGTAGCCTAGCACCTCACTCTCCCTACCCTGCCAACGTATTGGAATACCGCTGCTTTTTGCCGGTTTTCTCTGATTATGCTTTTCAGATGCCAGTCACAGGAGCCCATTGGATTGCTGTTTCATGGTACATCAACCATGGTGACTGTCTTTGTTTCTTTCCTCCACCCACCTTCTCTTTTCTGGCTCATGTTGAGATTATAAAAGTCTCTACAGACAATCACCTAAGCACTGGAAAGGATACTAAGACACATGTCATGTGCTAAGGTTCTGAAGAGTCTTATACTTTAGTAATAATGTGCGATATTTAAAACATAAATATTTCGTAAGTTAAAAAGTTGTCACAAGAGAGACACAGGACAATATAAATTTTTGTCGAAGAAAAAACATCTATTTTGAGAGAAATAAATAAAGTTTCCTAATAGAACTCAGATTTGATCATTATTTTTTAAAAAAATAATTAGGGGCTGGGAGGGGGCGGGAGCGGTGGTGGCTTATGCCTGTAATCCCAGCACTTTGGGAGGCTGAGGCGGGCAGATCACGAGGTCAAGACATCGAGACCATCCTGGCCAACATGGTGAAACCTCGTCTCTACTAAAAATACAAAAATTAGCTGGGCCTGGTGACATGCGCCTGTAGTCCCTACTACTTGGGAAGCTTAGGCAGGAGAATTGCTTGAACCAGGGAGGTGAAGTCTGCAGTGAGCTGAGATTGTGCCACTGCACTCCAGCCTGACAACAGAGCATGACTCTGTCTTAAAAAAAAAAAAAAAATTAGGATTTTGAAGGTGGAAATTGGCTAGAAAACAAAAACACAGGAATATGGAAAAACAATAATCTTTTTCCCCTAACTCTCAATTTTTCTAGCATTTTTATATTACCCTTACAAATGGTTTCAGACTGATAATACCCAAATTGATAAGCCAATCTGTACAGTTGTCCCAATAAAGGAAACCTAGCAAAACTTACTATATCTCTTCTTAGCTGATTTTTTGAATTACTATTTATTTGTAATGTTTCCTGACATTAAAAACAGCACTGAAATCACTTTTTCTATGCAGTTGGCTCTTTAAGTGGTAGCATTGAAGTAGAGAGAGTAAGAGAACATATCTCGCAAACAAGTGTCTCTTCTAATACTAATAACTATCATTTTTGTGTACTAACCTAAGCATTTTGCCTCATTTGATCTTTGTAGCAATCTTAAATGCTATTTCTTTCTTGCATTACAAATAAAAAAGAAATTAGTTCCAAATAGTTTCTTATTATATCCTAGCTTAAGCATAGTAAGTGATGGAGCCAGGCTTCAAACTTATGCTTCTTTGAGCTATGAACCATTACCTTATTCTGCCTGTGTTTTGTTCCTATTAATGTTTATAGCTCTGGCAGACAATATAGAATATATTTATCATAGACAATTGGAAATGCAAAACTTGAGCACAGTAGAAAATCAGGGAATCTTAATTTGACATCACTGTATATAAAATTACAGGTGAACATTAGTGAATGTGATAGAAGAGCAGAAAGGATTTATAGAAAGAAGAGTGGAAAGTATAGCAACTGGACTTTTAAATAGTTTATCAAGAAATTTGGACTGCCCTCAGTCATGAAATAACTCACACGTAACTTTTTAAAAACCTCATATGATCAGTAGTGTTTAAGAGCATTGGATCTGACCTTCTGTTGCCTGAGTTTGAAACTTGTTTCCAACAGTAACTAGCTGTGTAATTTTAGAATTTTGTGATTTTTTTGCTTTCTTTTTCTTTAGTTTTCTCATTTGTAAAATGGAGATATTAATAGAACACTGACTTCATAGACTTATAAATCAATGTATGCAAATCCCTTAAAATAGTCTCTGTCAGACATTATGACCGCTATGTCAGACATTATGACAGACTATAAAATAGTGTATCAGCACCTCAGTGTCTGCTATTAACATCAATGCCATGCTGCTGTTATTGTTATTGTTATTTTATTTTATTTTACTTTAGGTGCATACTGTATCTGGCATTTCTCCCCATGTTATCTCTCCCCACTCTCCCCTCCCTCCCTAGCCCCTGCTGTCTCTCCTCTACCCCCTCAACTGCCCCCAGTGTGTGATGCTCCTCTCCCTGAGTCCATGTGTTCTCATTGTTCACCACCCACCTATGAGTGAGAACATGCGGTGTTTGGTTTTCTACTCTTGTGTCAGTTCGCTGAGAATGATGGCTTCCAGATTCATCCAAGTCCCTACAAAGGACGTGAACTCATTGTTTTTTATGGCTGTGTAGTATTCCATGGTGTTTATGTACCACATTTTCTTTGTCCAGTCTATCATTGATGGGCATTTAGGTTGGTTCCAGGTCTTTGCTATTGTATACAGGGCTGCAATAAACATACGTGTGCATGTGTTTTTACAGTAGAATGATTTATAGTTCTTTGGGTATATGCCCAGTAATGGGATTACTGGGTCAAATGATTTCTATTTATTTCATTCTAAAAAACAGCCAAAGAAGTAGGCAGTCTGGAAAGAAGTTATAAACAGTGGTTTTTGTGCTATTTAATAATTATTGAAACAATATTTAAAATGATAAGTTATCAGGTTAGGCCAAAAACTCTACTGAAACCTAGGTGGTTCAATTATTGTGCATACTGATGATATAATGTAACTTTAAGAAAACTATGACCACCAATCTACTTTTGAATCTCCTAACTACAGTTCATTGATGTTAGGCAATTTTGTGTGCTCACTGTATAATATTAACTTGTAGAGTAAAGAAAGCAAGAACTGCTCCAGTTCCTAGTTAATGATTCTATTTGGCACAGGACCTCTTGTGTTGCAGGGCAGTTATAAGGGGTCAGTAAACAGAAGGATGAGATTCCAAGGCAGTAGCGAGAGAAAATTTGGGGTACCAGTAATTCCTATTATTTTTGCTTCCAAGAGGATATTTATTACCAACTTATTCTCTGTGTTAGGAACACAACAACAGTGATGCGGAATCCTCAACAATGGGTGTCCAAAAAGGTTAACCACTTGTGATCTCTTTCTGAAAAGACTGCTTCATCTCCATCTTCTTACTGACTACTGTCCTCATAGATCTAAGGAAGTTAGTGGTCCTTGAATGCACTTTCATTATAAAAAGTTTGATTAATACCTAGCGTTACTTAGACAAAGATCTCTTTAAACACCGGACAGAGGTAATTAAAGATTAGACATCTTGGCAGGACTGTTCATGGAACTCCTCTAGAGGATATAAAGACTTTTTTATTAAAGCTGGTGGATATCAAATTTGTCCTCCTCCCTTGCACATGTCTCCATTGCTTCTAAGAGTGTTTTTTGTTCTCTAGCACGGTTCCTACATTCAACTTTTACCCATTCTGACTAAATAACAGATGTTCTTCCTTGGCCTCTCTGTGTTTCCAATGGAAGGATGAATCTACACATCCTTCACAAAATTGTTTTATGAGAAATGGATAGAATGAAAATACATAGAGTTGAAGACCTTGTCATATTCCTTTTATTAAAAGTAAAACCAGGCTGGGTGTGGTAACTGATGCCTATAATCCCAGCACTTTGGGAGGCTAAGGCAGGAGTATCACCTGAGGTCAAGAGTTTGAGACAGACTTGACCAATGTGGTGAAACCCCAACTCTAAGAAAAATACAAAAATTAGCCAGGCCTGGTGGTTTAGGCCTGTAATCCCAGCTATTCAAAAGGCTTAGGCATGAGAATCGCTTGAACCCAGGAGTCAGAGACTGCAATAAGATGAGATCCACTATTTTACCCGACACAGAGCTTCCCTCAATGGAACAGAGAGTTGTGAATTTAGGGAGTTGTAGGAATTAAGAAAACAATGAAAGCTCTTTTGCATATATCTACACATATATATAATTTATATAATCTAAGTGTGTGTATATATGTGTATATGCTACCATACATATGTTTACCTCTTAAGTGAACTCCTAATTTACTATGGTACATTGAAGATATCAACATTATTTTACTATCTTCTTAAATCCTTTGAGACCACTAAAAAATATTTTAAAATACCTCTACATGGATGGAGAGAACTGGAGAAAACAACAACAAAATAGTGGAATCTTGTAAGACTATAGATAAGTGGGAACTGACTTGGTGGCACTGAGCAAGCTGAATCCCAACTTTCTGGTTAGTAAAGCTGCAAACCTTATTTATGCACAGTTTCCTAAGATAAATTAGCAATATCAAGTATCACAGGAAATGAAAATGACAGCGTTACTGAAATATAAAGACCTGTTAAAAGTTATTGTGAAGTCAGTAAATTGCCAGATACCCTCCATTATGCAACCCTGGTAGAAATCTGGAGGTTTATTCTTTCAGGACACAGCTAAACTGTATGGAATCTGAAGCATACTGGAAACTGAATGCCATAAAAATCAGCCCTCTATCACAGTGCATTCCATACCAGACCCCACAGGAATGTTGAAAGCCATAATCTTAGCCATCAGGCAGATTATTCAGACTCTTCTTTGAAGAATTTTTTTAATGTAAAATTGGGAGTTCCCTAAAAATGATTCACCCAGGTGACTCAGAGGAAATTTGATGTTTCAAAAACTTTACTCAGTGCTCAGAAATTCTAAGTCAGATTTCTGATGTCCTTTTCCTAATCAAGAACAAAAAGCCAGCATTAACTGAGCATGCGAGTAAACCCTCGAACATGGAAGATAAGTCTAAAATAAACAAACAGATTTAAACAATTGAAATGAATC